TATATATATATACATATATATTATATGAGGTACCCCAACATCCACTACCCAATATCAACGCAACGGTGTGCCCGTGCACGTGAGAGGGGACTATAATGAAGAGTGGAAATGTACTGTAAGTAAAGATCATTCGAAAGATTGCGATAGAGAGCTAGCCTCAAGGAACAGAAATGTACAACTCAGACATATGAAGTCCTCTCGTCTTGGCAAAAAACTCGAAGAATTCAAATCTGGTCAGTTCAGCAGGTGAGAGTTATTTTACCCCCACTGCAATTTTATCAGATTATTAGTTATGGATTGCCTTTTATATATCTATAACCTTACACTCAATTTGTTATTTCATATACGCAGGTCGTATGGACTCTTTGTCGACAATCATGTCAGAATATCCGCGGTTCCCAGAGTTCGTTCAAAAATGCTGTGAAGCAGATAGAAATGGAACATAAGTTCGCTTTTCAGTTAAATGTGATTATGTCCAACAGAAAGATGCAGCGATGTTTAATAGCTCTTACTTCGCGCCATCCGCGTGCAAGCATTTCTGGCGATATTCTAGACATGTGAGCGTGCTGCCTCGCTTCTTCATTTTCTAGCTATTTTTTTAAAATCCGGTCTGGTTTCATGTTTATTTATGACAAAAAAATTCACCAATCAACATTGAAGGTGTTATCGCTGTGATGACTTGCAAGGATGCAAATAATCAAAATGTTCCACGCGCATGGATTCAACTACCGACAGAAAACCACATCGGGTGGGACAGCTTCTTTGAGAAATTAAAGGTAGATTTCTCGGATTGTAAGATTGCTATCGCAGACAAAGATAAAGGTCTGATAAAAACAAAAGATAATTATCAGTTCCCGATAGCCAGGTGTGTTGGATCGAATGCTAATCTCAGTTTGTCTCTATTGATAGGCTTCTTTATTCTCTTCTATTTCCACGTTAAATACTAATATCAAAAAGGTAAATTGGCTACTTGCTATAATTTATGGGCTAGGTGCGAGAAACACTTTCGTGACAATGTAACGACACTAGCATCGAAAAAGGGTTTCCAGTATAATAAAGAAACTCTGGATGATATTTGCCAGTCGGTAGTCACGCCAGTTGATGAAGAATTCAAGGTATACATTTTTTTCTGTATTTCTGTAGTGTAGTTCTTTATGAATTACCGATATGCGCAAACCCCTGATAAGCTGAGAACAATTTATAAATTGTATTTGCTGGCACACAATTCAGCACTACATTAATGAAATACAGAATCGAGGACAAAAATAAGTCGCCGGGATCCTGCTGAAGCATAGAAAGGAATACACTATATCCGCACACACCTCTGCGGACCCTGGTGAGTTTGACACTATCGCAGCAGCAGTGGGTGTGTTGAATTCTTTTATACTGTGGATATTGATCGCATTAATTATATTTTCTAATCAATTCGTACACGTACTAGAAATCAATATTTGCAGGTTTGGCGATGTGACTTCCAATTCAGTAGAACAGGCAAACGGCGTACTCGACCTGTTACGTAGCTTGGGACCGGTATGTTTGTGATACATTTCTGTGCTTGAATTGATATGTTTGTGATACATTTCTGCGCTTGAACTGATGCATTTATGAGACATGTATAATTCATACTTCGCTTCGATTAACGCTTACTCATTACTAAGTGAGTTTCAACCGAGGATTCTTGGCGTACGTTGCTGATAAGTTCTGTCGTCGACAAGTTGAGTCTTTAAGCCTATACACACTCGGGCATACACTGATCGAACCCGTACTACAACACATACAATACATACGGGAGTTGACTGGTTCAAAGATAAAAAAACTGCTGACTAACGATATGTGCCATCTCTTAATGAGATAGTTATCTCATTAACAAACTCTGTTCCGAACTCTCGAAATACCACTGATGACCATTCTACATGGAATTACTACAGTTTCAAAGGACTGTATCATGGCAACTGTTCAAGACTTGAGAGACGAACCCGTACGTGGTCGGTATTCAGTAACGTTGAAGTCTAATGGTAGGTCTAATGATTTTGGATTTTATTGCGTTGTCAAACATGTTAATAGCCAGCCACTCCTGTAGGCAGAATTGACATTAATGAACGTTTTATTTCACAAACTCTAGGTGTATCGGTTTGCGCATGCTTGCGTCGAGAAGCGTTGTGAATGCTATGTGTACATGGAGGCAGAACTCTGATGACATTAGCATTGGACAACTCCGGGGGGTATGATAAATTCAAAGAAAAGTACATCCTACAAAATGAGAAACGGTAAGTCATTTGACTTTACTGCTTTCACCTATTTTAAGTTTGAACGAAATTCCACTATATTTACTGTATTTCCACCATTGTTTTAAATATGCAGGTACAGCCCTGTATTTCATGTCAAGACATACGTGAAGCAGTATTCGGAGACTCTTTAAATTCCAAATGAACTCGATATCGAGAGCAAATTATGTCAGGTATATCCTCCAAATAATCCTGGTCATCGAGGGCGTGAAAAGGGTCGACGTGCCAGGAATCGACGTGAATACAAGCGCAAAGGAAATCCACGAATATGCAAAATATGTGCGCGAAGTATCACACTGCCAAGACTTGTATATCGTCAGAACTCCGCAAATACTTGGCAAATCACAAAGTGACCGCTCTCATCAGAACGTACCCTTTACCGGAAAGTATTTACAATGTACCTACAGAATAAAGAAGAAAACAAATTCCCATGTGAAAAACTTGTATATGAACTCTATCACAAGCTTATTCAACCCGCCCCTCAAAATCTACTATTTACTACCCTAAAATGATGTGATTTCACTAATCACTACCTCCAAAAATTTGGTAGGGTTTGAGGATATATCTACTAAGTGATCGTCAAGAAAACGGACTGCCGTAATCGTCGGGGTAGTGATTAATGGAATCTACATACCCACGGGGTAGTGTTTAGTGAATCCCCTGTATATATATATATATAGATATATAAATTATTTTTTCTCATGTTTTACTATATATTGATGTTTATACATATATATATATACATATATATGTATTGGGCTGAATTGTCCTGTGAAATCTTTACTCCACATGGTGGGGCGTGCATTCGGTGTATCACTGGAGACATCGACAAGTGTAGCAACTATTAGAGAACATCGGCAGGACAGAAATTCGACCAAGGACAACGCCATCCCCGCTGCTAAGCGCCGGCTACAACCTGACTGAAAATATGGTTTCCGATTTGCATCACAGGTGTTTATTATACTTATCACCTCGATATTTATGGCTATTATAACCGCACCATGGCCGTTCTTGAACTAAGACAATTTCTTCGGAGACACGTCACCTTAATTGTGTTCAATGATAACTAGGAAGAATTCATTATCTTTTTCTTCGACTGTAATTGTACCAGCTGAATTCTGTCCATGATTGCTGAAAAGTCTTTAAGCGAATACTTGTTGAATACCACTTCAACTCGAGGGGTTTAAATTCTTCATGCACAAGTTCGTTCAATACAAGGCTAAAACCTATGACCTGCCCTTATGTTCTGCAGGACATATTTGGGCGCTTGACTTGTCGGCCCAACATCATTACCAACTAAGAGATTCCGAGACACATTTTTACACACTCTATCACAAAGTGGTTGAATATATTTATTTAATGTAACTAGGACCACAAATAAATGCGACCTGCAAAGACGCGTTCAGTAGTCATATACTAGCTATGCTCGTAACCATATATCAGCTGTGCTCGCGAAATCGCTCACACAATACAGCAAGTGTTTGTGTGTCTGTCTTCAAGATATCTATTGTACCTATTTACAACACTTGCTATACTATACAGCCCGAGACCTACGAACAGATACCGTTCTCATCCTTGTCCCACGTACTCGTGCTTGCTGCTAACTGCCACAACTTTTCGCAATTATCGCAAACTTTTCTCTATACCCGCATGCGCGATATATCAGCTTTACAATTCGAAGTGGTCAACATTGCTCTCATTCAGCGGACTCCCCCCATCTCGTTCACTCGCGAACTCTGGGAAATCGCCTTCGTCGTGCCCATTGCCATGCTCATACACCTGACCTGCCTGGTAGTGCTGGGGTTGGGACTGCTGCTGAGAAGTCATTTCATACGACTCTTGGCCGTATCCGTTATCGTAGCCATTGTCGTGGTCCACATACTGACCCGTTTGTGCGTACGCGTCCATGTCGTAGCTTTCCCGTGCGATTTGATCCTGGTCGTACTGTCCTTGCGAGAATCCGGTGTTGCTCTGCGCGTACTCGTCTTGTGGGATGCCTCCTTGAATGTACGGCTCCTGCAATTGTCGTATACAGAGTGTAAGTTTAAGTCGTATACAGAGTGTAAGTTTAAACTCAGTAAACTCGGACACCGATAAAATGTAGTATTTTCAGAATGCAGAGTACTAATTATTCTTATCGGTTCCGGAATCGCACCGGCGAAAAAGTGGCGTATGGTATTTTAATACAATTTCTCCCGTAGATCTTCGACAAACGTGGTAGTACCTGTTGATACTCGTCGTTATACATGGGCTGTCCCTGGTCGTCATATATCGGTTGACCCTGTTTGAAAAGACACGCAGAATGATGTTAATAAACCATCGAAGATAGTATGTATTTCTCAAGTGTACAAAGGGTTACTAGGTTGGACACGATATGCATACATGTAGGTGCAAATGCCTATTCAAACTACGAATAAATACACAGGCGTGCACGTGCGTCGTTAGATGGCGATACAATAGGCGGTATCGGTATCTTCATTAAAACGATATATCGGTAAACTAAAGCCTAACGTCTGCACTAGTACCTCTACTCTATCCGATCCGAACGAAGCACGTGCTCAGATCAGAACTCATGCATGCATCAAAGATGATACCAGCCCGCAACCATACACGTATACAATAGCCAAGCGGCATAGATACTCGCATCTCCGTGTGCATTTAGGCAGACTACCAACATACTATACTATGGTAAATCATTCAGGTGGAAACTCACAGATACAAATACCTGGTCATCGTACATCATCTCCTGGCCCTGATCATAGTACACCTCCTCCGCATTGGGGTCGTAATACTCCGCTCCGGGGTCTTCGTATACCTCTTGTCCGTTGGCATCCACATAGTACGGACCATTTCCATCATCGAAGTACTGACGTTCACCCTCGGGGATCCTGTCAGATTGGTTGTTTGGTTATAATTCGTAAGCCAACAAATAGAGAAGTAGATAGAAACTACACTAAAAGCAGGAGAACATCACGATTGCAAATTGCCTGGGAAGAAAGAATCAAATATACCCTGATCATTTTTTTAATTAGTTGGAGAGATAATCAATGACCAATTGACAGAGGTCAACACATGCTTGCTGGTAAAAGAGTGTTCCCAGGTATCCACACGCGTTATACGTAGCGCTCGTCTGGTACAGGCATAAGCAAACCTAAACATGCATGTGCTCTCAACGGTTATCCCATTTGCCTAAGTTACAATGTCGGTGCTGAGAGTAAATACACCTAACGAAATTAACAGGGATAGCCACCGACACGTGTACTCCGGATATGAGCAGTTTGTATGGGACGAACTAGTGCTTACCCACTCGTGTAGCCACTGCTCCTGTCGGCCTCGGTCATGTACGACTGGTTGGAGTCGAATTCAGACGCACGCGGATCGACATAGCTCTGGGACTGGCCGTCATACATCTGGTTGCGCGAGTACATCGACATCCGGTTGTCGTCGATACCGCCCATGCTGTAGGATGGAGGAGAGAGCGAGAGAGAGTTAAACCTACAACGAGGTGCAGCACACATATCGCACGTGCGAGATATTCGTATGTGTGCGTAGGCCACAGGGTACCACACAAAGCACGAACTACCGCGGGAAATACGAGACCGGTGCTTTGACAATCTGCATATCATCGTTGCACAAAGAAGTACGACTGTGACTTGCACAGCACAACTGGTGTACCTTATCCACCTATCAGATCAGTGGAGATAAGGTTACCCTAATGATTATACAAAATAAAAACATCACATTGCATCGTCTCTGCGGTGGAATTGACATACCTTGGAGCGACGGAGTACATACTACCGCCGCGATTCGCGAATGCATTGTCGATGCCAGATGTGGAGTACATCGAGCCCATCCGGCTGCTGAACATATCAGCGTTGGACCGATTGCCTCCCATGTAGTTCTGTGGTCATAGACAGGGGACGCGAGGGAAGTGAGTAGAGGACATTTAACGAGGAGAGGGGAAGCCAATCACATACACCGGATGGAAGGACAAATAATTATGTAATGAGGTGTACCAGTATAGGGTTATGGCTTTGGATTCAGTTGTACACGATTAGCCAAGAGACGTGTGTTTGGAGTGCAGCACATCACGACGGGCACGGAAACATACTGGAGCAGTGTGCAAGGCGCATGGCGTGTGTGTACATGTGGAAGGGGTAAGGGGTAGACCACAGGTACCAATATAATCGTTCCACGCACCTGTAACGTATCGACGCTTCCGCGACGGTCAAAGGTCGGCCCGCGACCATTGTTGAGGATGAGGTTCTTCTCGTCCTCTTTCTTCGTCTTCCACACATATCCGCTGCGCGAATGAGAAGGCGAACGGATGAGCCGTGCGGAAGACATGAGCGAGAAGATCATTTCCGGTGTATGTGAGTGTGAGTACCCGCCCAGTTTACGTCGCTAGATTTGTCGTACAGTGCAAAAGGCAAGCTCGCACATATCCTCTCACAGCCCGATCGTGGCTCATACCAAACAAATTCCGTAGCTTGAAAAATAGACTCAATTTTCGCTCAATATATAGACTGAGCTTTGTGCTCGGCATATGCGATGAGATGATCCAATGTTTGTATCCATTCACATAGGCCCTTTCAGCGCACGAGTACTCTCAACACTCGCGTATATGCAAACAGAGGAAACCAAACATAAATAAGACTAACGTCACATCAGCCAATCAAGAACAAGACAAACGTCACGTCAGCTAATCAGAAACGAGACTAACGTCAAGTCAGCCAATCAGAAACAAGACTAACGTCACGTCAGCCAATCATTAACACTAACATCACATCAGCGATGCACGACACCTCAAGATGATCTGAAGGCAGCCCTGTACTGCAGTTACGCCGAGACATACCAGATGAGAGTGAGGCATATGCAGATCAGGCAGCAGATGATGCCGCCGATGATACAGCCAATGATGATGTACAGATCGTAGTTGCCCTTGTAAATAGTGATCTGCTCCGATACGGTGAAGTTCCCGGACTCGTCCAATGACGCGACGACTTTGTTGACAGCTCCAGTTGTGTCATACTGTTTGGTATGCGTAAAACTGTTGAGCATTAAATGTGTTTGTATGTGTGCATAAAAGGGATTGTGTGGTAGCTACTGTTGAGCATTAAATGAGTTTGTATGTGCATAAAAGACGACTTTATTGACAGCTCCAGTGCTGTCATACTGTTTGGTAAGCGTAAACGGGATTGTATGTTACTATTGAGTATTAGATGTGATTGTATGTATGCATAAAAACGTATCAGATCGTATGGCATGGCCGCAGGCGATGCAATGTAGAGCCTTCAGGTGTGCGTGTGCGCGAGTGGGTGTGTACTCGTGCGTGTGTATGTGTGTGCGGTTCTGCGCATTGATGGTGTGTATTGACATAGACATATCGATAAAAAAATCCGTTGTACTGCATAGACGTAACGGTAAAAGAAACTCATTATATTGACATAGGCATATCGATAAATATTCTTTTCGGTAAGAAAGTCCTTTATACTAGTCTGGCAGCAGGAGCATCAACAATCGCGCCAAGAGGTCGAACAAACGAGCCCGGAATAACATAATTACTGCGCACGCGAAGCACCGTTACCCGCGCAGTACTCTGACTGTATCGCATAATAAAAATGAAGGTAACGACCACCGATGCAAAAGCACGCAGTGGGGTATTACAGACAAAACTGCACACACTTACATTATTCGCTGCTGATAGATACGTTGGGTCGATTTCGTTGTCTTCGTATGTGACCGTAATGGAATCAGATATGATCGATTCCTCACTGACAGTTGTCTGACGCCTGTGTGGCATTCGTGGGAAAAAAAAAAGAAGAAAAAAAAAGAAAAAGAAAAAAAAGGAATGCTTAGCCCCGAAGTGGTGCGGTTGTCTACAGAAGGTTCTGCAAGGTTCTGTGTAGGGTGTTGATTAGAAGTACACAAGTCGATACGATGATGGGGCAAAATGCAAAAAAGGGCCCAGGTACTCTGCAATGAAGATAACAACCCCCATGCTGCGATTTGTAGTTTTCGAAATATATCTATGCCTTGCAGGTATAAATCGGGCGAGGCAATTGTGCATATAGGCCTGCAACTGCAAACACTTCAAACTGGGGCGGTGCCATAGGCCCACAAAGCACACACCTTCTTCTGCGTGCCGTTCCACCCACACGCCTATCCTGGTACTCGACCAACAAGTTAAAGGTCACCTGCATCTCAGACTTGTCCAGGCCTAATGTCGCACAGGCAAATTGACTGGACGCAACAAAATTGTACTCGACCTGTACCACGTTCAGCAGAGGTTGGGGAGCGGATGCGTTTGATCAGTGCTTATACAATGCACAAGGTATTGAAAATGAAGTCAGACAACCACACCAACTCTTCAAATGGATTGTAAATTACTGTGCGCGCGGGATTACTTCCCATTCTCGAGATTCAATCAATCAGAAAGTATAGATAGAGCAACTCGAAGGCACGTACCGAACACCGCCAAGAGAGCAAACAGAAACTATTTGACAATGCGAATAAACCAACCAGCCCATACAAACCCAAAAGAGTATACAGAACTATTTGACACTGCGAATAAAACCAACAAGCCCATACAAACCCAAAAGAGTATACAGAAACTATTTGACACTGCGAATAAACCAACCAGCCCATACAAACCCATAAGAGTATACGGAAACTATTTGACACTGCGAATAAACCAACCAGCCCATATAAACCCATAAGAGTATACAGAAACTATCTGACAATACGAACATACGATACAAACAAGTGCTCTCTGCTTACCGACTCGTCCAGATTGTTGAACCCCTGGTTGAGCAGTCCCGGGTTAGCGAAGTAATCGGGGATGCACGTACGCGTGTTGATACCAGACCGAGTCATATTACTGATCACTGCACTAGTGATCTCGTGGAAGGCCGTCGACTTGATGGGGAGTGTGCGTCTGCAAGTACAAGTAAATACCTTGTTAAGATGCAATACGGATTTGCGAGTCCATAGCACAAACACATGTTGAGAGTCCAACAACACTAACCACCCGATACACTTTCGCATGCTGTGGTTTCTACAGAAAGACGCATGCTGATCGAAGTATGGCAAGTAGAGCGGTGCCCACGACTAACGAACAATTGCAGAATAACACTGCACTCGAAACGAACGCAATGCATCCACACACACTCCATCATCACTACCTACGTTTCTGGCCACCAAAAAACAACAACACTAATCCACACTACACTACTCATCCAGCCCATGTCCAGGCTCACGGATACCCCTCCCACCACCTCACACCCGTACACCAACGCCCTGCACACACTCACCTGACCACCTGATTCAGCCTGTAGCTGTTAACTCCGCTAGTCTCGCCCTCCACCGAGCCAATCGTGTACGGGCGCCTGTCAGCTTCTGTCTTGAGCACACACATGTCCTTGCCTTGCAATGTCAGGACTATATCGAAGTCGCCTGTGGAATCGCCCTTGACACAGCTCTCGTCCAGGTTTTTGTCGCAGTCGATCACCAGTCCCTTGAGAACGTAGTTTCCGGATATATCACAACCGCGCAAAACGGTCGTGACAGTCTGAGACGAAGGTAGGCAAACGGCGGCGATAAATGCGACGCATAGACCATTCTTGTATGGACAAGGGATAGGGCTACACCCATTCTCCGGCTGCTTACTATAGTATAGGATACACACAATATACCTACCACATCATTCTATGTTAGAATACATGCAATAGACCATCCAGTCAAGCAACTCACCTGGTCACATCGCGACCCAATGCTCTGATCAGGACAGGGGTTCTCCACAATCCACTCTCCCACTTCGATCTCGGTGCCATCAGCCTCGACTTTGTACAATGAACCCAACTCCATGGCAAGCGAATTAGGGCCAATCATCATGGTACGCAGATTGGCTCGCACCGTAAGACCATCCGTGTAGGTACTTTGGGCAGACGCTGAAAGTGTAGGTAGAATGACGTTTATGTATGTATGTATATATGTATGTATGCATGAATTATATGTATGTGTGTATGTATGTATATGTGTATGTGAACTGAATTTTCGGAAGGTCTTGATACGCACCCTTTGGGGAGAGGAGGTACCGGAATGGAGGGTACAAAGCCCAGCAACAACAGCTGAAAAGCCAAGTCGGTTATAAAATGTATTTGCAAGCATTGAATATTCGCAATGGCTTCATGGCTTCTTCAATATTCGAGGTAGCGGTTCCTAGGTTGCAGAAGAGAATTTATAACTCCTTCTCCCCCTCCTCCTTCGCAAACTAGCTTCCTACCATAAACTGAGATTGCATGACACTTGTGAGGTAGATGAACACACACCTTTAATGCCGACGGAAGGATAGCTTGTTCCGAACGCCTGTGCCTCTGAGGAATCAGAGTCGTACAGCCCAACACTACGCCAGTAACCTTGCAGCCTGAAAGAGTGGAAACGTAAACGACCAGAATGTGTTACTTTAGAGCTATAACTCGCGGGATAAAAACTGGGGGCTCCTCCACTGTGAGAGATTGCCCTACAGCATATACCTGGGCGCAGTCTGCACCAATATAAAGGGGTATTTTGGGTACCAACCTGTGTGGTTTCATGATATACAAGGCTTGATGATTCGATTGATCTGAAATTCAGGTCTCTAGCGTATGCATCACTTTGGTAAAAGCACTCACGAAGGTGCATGTCTTGCTATATTGGATCCAAGGGCAAGGCGGTGTTTTTCGTCGCAGAAGGTTTCTCGACACACAAACACACGCATGACCATGAGAGGTATAGACGCTCAAGGCTGTTTAAACCATTGCGTGACGATACGTAGAACACATCCACTCATGGGACAAGCCAACAAACGTCTGTGCACGTACACCTCATAACAACCATGCGCGATACAACTCAGGGCACGCACAAGCCCTCTCTCGGCTATTTCTAAAAAGACAATCTGCCATCCGCACAGTGAACAAACTACGTCACGCAAGATATTACGTACAGTTCGCTGAATGTGGATAGCGCGAAGCTCGCTGACAAGCTTGGTTACAATACTGGCCACTTAGATCACTGCTTATTCACAGAAACTGACCACCCCGATGCTACTAGGTTTGGTAAATACTTCAATTCCGAGCGTAATATTGTCTCACGATAATACATTGCCACCTGTGTCTATTGCGCTATCCATTCCTACCTCAAGAGTGATCTGATCGGCGTGGTTCGGCTCCATCTGAACGCCAGCAGGTTCTTGAATCCGAGGAGGTCATCCTCAGACACGGCAAATTCAGCCACGCCCCTGCTTTTCTGCAGAAGAGCGTCTCTCAGGGCCAAGTCCTGGTTGATTTGCTTCAAAGTATCCTGAATGCGATGAAAGATATCCGCTCAATATCCGCTGGTAGATCCACACAAGTGTGCGCCGCCACCAACACAAGCGCGAACACAAATCGCACCTGCGCATACACCCACAACAGAGTGCAAATACAAATGCGAGGCTATACTGCGCCGTAGACCGCACCAAACGAACATTTGGCACCCATATGAGCACCGGGCCTACGGGATAGCCGTGTAGCACTACAACGTAGACACTCACCTCAGTCTTCACCTCGACATCGAATACGTGCAGCTCCTTGCCGTTCGCAACGTTTGTCGTGATATTGCAACTCGAAAATTGATTCATATCGAGCACAATAGCCAGAAAGCCATGGCAGTTCGAGCCATCTAAAGCCATCATCACAGACTCGAACACAGTCACACCCTCTACACTCGCCTTATATGAACATTCGCCCACGGTTATGTCCTGAACCTGCCGTCGGTTAACCCAGGGCCCCATATCGAGGTGCAGGGACATACGATTGTCAGACAAGACCTCGTTTTTAAGACCAGAGGTCAGGTTGAACTTGCTCAGCTGTTGAGCCATTGTCTCGGTTGTGGTGCAGACATGCCTGTTACGGTGTAATTGACAGTTATAATGCTGTACGATCTCAATCTCGCACCTTTCGAACTACACGCGTATTAACCTTGGAATAGTTCAGGTCTATATATTCATCTATAAATGATTGTGATTGTTCATTCGCATCAGCATTGTATTGTAGTTCTGTGGTCATAGAATCTGCTATCGACCACGCCACCTATATGCATGCTCTGTGTCGACAACCTATTGCATATGTATTGTATTGGGTGAACAGGTGCATATTGTGACACACATACACTGAGCAGCTCGCATCAGCACGTTCACATATGTGTGAACAAAAGGTGAGTATACTCACGGGCATGAAACAACTGGGTGCATTTGCTCATAAACAGATACAAAATTTAAATTGAAGAACATCGATATACGACATGAAGAAAAACAGGATCCAGCTTCTGAAACACTCTCATTGTATGCAACCATACCCAGTGGGGTCTTCGAAAGCAATATTGTCCACGGCGAAACGGAAAGGGACTGTGGACACGAAGGGTATCAGTGCCTGATCTCCAAGCACTATTTTGGCGGGTGTCGCGAATCCCGGGCCGGATATATTCAAACTCTATATGATAAAATGTCACAACATATTCGAAGATAAGGGTTTAAGGGTTACCGTTCTAATTTTCGGTCTAGTGCAATCAGTACAAAAAAAAGCATGAGGCTCTCCTAGATAGTGCCTAAACCATACTGATGCGATAATGCGAACCTTTTTAAGTTTATGCAAAGATATCAGCTCGATAAGTGCGGTACAATATAAAGAACTTACAATTACATAACCCTACAGATAGTTTGCAGCAGAGCAATCAGCGTCCAAAGCAGATGACCCAGCTTCCCCAGCATGTTTAGTGTTAAATGCAGACTGCACCGAAAATAGCCTACAAATACCTTCGTCAATTTAGCACGAGCAGTCACATACTCTTTGTTCCTCTAACATTATGGTTTATATAGCAATCGATGTGTACACAGCTGTGAGTCATGGTGTACAACCATACCTGATCTAATCGCAGTTGGGCATTTAAATTGTAGTCCTGAACCGTCAGCAGAATGGCGTCCCCTACTAGAGCCGAACTAAAAATCAGGAGAAAGAAAAATGTGCCATCTGACTGTAAGCAGAAATCAATCCAGCAAGAGACACTGACTCTGCGTTCGCAGAAGTTGAGTGGGTGTAAATAGATTAGGCATACGATTAGCACTATATTAATTGATTACAATGTGCCACACATACGTTTAGCAGTGTTTTTAGCCGCCACATCTCCAGAGCTCATATTAAAAATTAAAGCGATAGTACACACTAAATCTAAACAAATACAAAAGCACCAATTCAATCCCCATATGGTTGATATAACACGTAGCCAAGGCAGATCGCCCACCTCCTTCGAGCTAAGAAGGACAGGGAGATGGCAACCAGATCAGTTGACAGAAATATATATGCGAATACAATAAAAATATGCTTTTGTATATATATATATATATATATATATGTATGTATGTGTGTGTGTGTGTATGC